AAACAAAGTCAGATTTACAAGAATTTAAGCGAGTTTTGTTGTGCAAACCATACATTATTTGTTAATATTTTTCAAATTATTCACGATTGACTTTTTAAAACCTCATATATCAAAAGAGTACTAGTTGGAGCAAGGTAAGAAACTAAAAAATACCAATAAAAACCTATGGTTTACGCAAGAATTAAGTTTTAACATAGGAAAGAGCTAAAGACCACCCACATCGCCAAGGGGACTATGGACACCTGTGGTCACTATTACCACAGAAAACGTACTACTATAACCCAGAATGCCAACCGCATGGTAAAAAGCATTAAGTGTTTTGAGAGAGCTTTGCCTGTCAATCGGTAGGCAGCGCCACCAGCGTTGCTATGCTATTGCTATTGTTGGCTGCCTACGGATTGACAGGCAAAGCTCTCTCAAACCGCTTAATGCTTTTTACCATGCAGTTGGCATTCTGGGTTATAGTAGTACGTTTTCTGTGCTATGACCTACAAACAACCATGATATGACTCATGATGACATATAGTTTTTTTTTTTGTCAGATATTGTAGATATTTGAATCATATACATCCTGCAGTTAATCCCATACTGATGGGTTGAAGCGTTCAAAAGTTATAGGACTTTGAAATTTCAAATTGAGACAACTTTTTTCACCCAAAAAATCATATTAATGTTCTTAATTTCAATTAAATTCTCGAAATTTGTTACAATTTGTCCTCTTGATTTAATGCTTAAAGGTAAAGCATACCTAAAGGTTGTTTAATCTTATTCCTTATCAAGAAATTGTGAAAATTCATAGGCATGCAGGCAGGCAGATCCAGTGTAAGAGTTCCTTATCAGGTTCATGTAAGGATACCTATACCCATGTCCTTCTAGTGTCAGTGCTGTAGTTTGAACAAGTTGGTCCTTCCCCCCACTACTGCTCAATTCATACAGCACAGACAGGACAGGAGGTCCTGAGGAGTGCCAGTAAATCCTGGCATAAAAGAAGTAATATATTGCATGGCAGAACGACAGCAAAGTTGAAACCTTTTTTCACTGTTGCATCTTCATTCTTTATATCAATTTCTCTTGATAGTACTGTATAAACATTTTAATTACAATAGATTTCTTCCATAAAAAAACGCATAATATGTTGTTGAAATGAAATAAATTTGTTTATATTCTTATTATGGTTCTTTTATAAAATTTGATCAAATTGAACAACTTGAATCTTAAAATACAAACATTTATGGAAGATTTTATGAACCTTGAAGAGGCATATCTCTCAATGTGTTAGGCCATTAATTACCGTTTTGGTCTTAAATTGTGAGTAATTTAATGCAGTTTCAAAGTAATTATGGTTGTTTTAATGAAAAATAACGATAAAGTTATGCTTAAGGGTTAACGTTAGCCAAACTTAAAAAACATTCAAAATTTGGTAATTTTAGCCGTTGTTTGCGGAGTCATATCTTGAAAACTATTAGGCCTGTAATAACCATTTTGGTCTTATATGATAGGTAATTTAATATACTTTAAAAATGATTATGGTTGTTCTTGATGAAAAAGTGATGCTTCAGGGTCAAAATCGGACAAACGTAAAAATAGTGCGTAATTCTGCCGATTTTTAAGCTTTTTGGAGGTGATCCGGAAGGTCGCCGAGGTCGAAAATTTGGATTTAGCAACTCGGTACTATTACAAACAACATAAAAAAAAGAAACCTACTACCCCATTTCATGCAAGGTAAAATGCGTTAGGTTACTGGATTAGATATCAACTCCGGACCACGTAAGATCATTGTAGAGTAGTAAGTACTTCATTTTGACTGGGTATGAAATTTTGGCCGCCATCTTGGATCTGCCATATTGGATACAAAGTTTTTTTTTTCAAATGTAAAGGTAGGATTGTGACCCATCGTTTCAAACTAGATTTGTACGATGAATATGATGCTGCAATCCGTTTTTAAAAATCTTGATCCATTCTAAAGTTATGGACACATTTTATAACTTATTTTTAGCCCATTTTAACATTGTGCAGTTACAAACTCAGACTATAATCGTAAAATAGAGCTAGATAAAGATAAGTATACACCACCAGTCATTGTCAACCTATTTTCACTTGGTTATGATCACTTGGATACGATTATGGTCTTAGTTTGTAACTGTACAATGTTAAAATTGGCTAAAAATAAAGTTTTAAACAGTTTAGAACGGATCAAGATTTTTAAAAACGGATTGCAGCATCGTATTCAGCGTAAAAATCTAGTTTGAAACGATGGGTCAAAACCCTACCTTTGCATTAAAAAAAAAAAAAACTTTGTATCCAATATGGAAGATACAGGAATATCTATTCTGACACATAGATAATATATTTCTTTGTTTGTTTAAATATTAGAATAATTTATTTTATATTATTGAGCATTTTAGGGACTTATGTCCCTACAAGCCACTAGTATCAAATATTTATGTAGAGATGTTTGCTCTTATCGTGTCTAATAAAATCCAAACATAGAAACCTTGCCTAAAATGGTACCCATCTTGGCAAATTATTTGCACCTGCCTATATTACGGACTTGGGCGCACTGGGTTGGTAACATTAATGAAAATAACACGACATTTTGGCTGTAAAATATGGTACAAAGAGAAAATACTATTTAAGCAGCACCTGTTATGACAGAAAGGTCATATTCCTTTTAAACTAGATTACATAATCCTTTATAAGATACGTTGATTAACAATATGTAAACGTCAATATATACGTAACAGCCAATTTACAGCATTTTTGCTTTTTGGAAATGTCCAATTGCTATGTTATTTGCATTATTTGTTGCCAATGGAGCCGCAAGACCATATGAACTAGGAGGCCTCTAACAGTTCAAGAATAAAAGCCGATTTTATTTTTGAACTTCACTTCAAGTATTCCACTACACCTAACATTCCGTAGAGATATTATATTGACAACTTTACGTTATTGATAAGGCTGAGACAACTAACTGACATCCCCCATGTCAAGGAATTCCAGCTTTAACAGTAACCCCACAATCAATTTCTCAAAACTATGCTAGAGGGTTCATTCATTGACACAGAAGTACGATATGAACTGACGCGACGTGACAGGAAAAATTAAACTTACACTGTAACGGATATACCTCCCTTTGAAGTTAGAATATGTCTTCCCAAAAAATATTTCCTTTTGAAATAAAATCATATTATACTGATGAAATCACGGATGTGTTTAGCTACAAAAGATCCACCAATACGATTTTAATACTATTTAAAGGTTCTTCCAAAGGAATAGCTACCATATAACATAGTAATAATAACTGCGATGACGTACGGTATGGGGAATATTTTATTCATTGAATGATCAACCAAATTTGGCAACTAACTCAATTAATATCATTATTGTTTTTACACCTATTACTCTTTAAACAATGCTAAATGCTCAAAATATGTGTATTTCACCCAATTTATCGCAGTTGGATGAATTAACGTAAGCCTTGAAAGTAACCGTCGATTTCGACGGGTTTCACCTAGTTAATTTTAATACTTAATCACTTAGAATTTAAAATTAACACAAATTACACGCATACATACAACACCGAATTTATTGATGCGACAGCTCTTCTATTATTTTTTATGAAACACGTTTGCAGTTTTTGTTCTAACATTCCTTCAAAAATCAATCCTGGTTGTTGTTCGCGTGAGTGCAATAATCGACATTTAAAACAGCTGTAATGGAAACAAGTTATTTTTCCTACAGTCACCTGACAAAGTTGGCTTCCTTGTACTCTTTATAGTACAGAAAGCTGCTAATTGCTGCATATTTATACTTTGCCGTACGGTTTATACTTTGCCGTACGGTTTATACTTTGCCGCACATCAGGATTCCAACGAAACAACACAAAACAGCGTGGTTCTATTATGCACGTAATCCGTGTACGCTTGGAAATAGGTTGGCAACACTTTAAAAATAATAATACTATGAGCAGCTGATTGACTATTATAACTACGATTTAACCTGTCATTTCGTGTTTATAGTTTCGGTATTTCTGAACTTTCTGGACTTTTCTTTTAAACGTTTTTAAAATATTCCTACGATCTTAACAAACAAGAAAATACCTTTAAAGCATTTTTTTAAGGCGCAGAAACCACTTCAAATTACAAAAACATACGGAACTATATTCTCAAAACGCGGAGCATATTTCTTGCCGAGGTAAAATAGCGGAGTGATACGGACCGCGGGTACTACTTTCTCTAGGGCACCATTTGTGTTGCCAGCTGAACCTAAAAACGTGTTGTATAGTGTTTGAAAGACTAATTATTTATATGCTTTATAATGACTGTAGGAAAAATATAATGTGTAACACGAGTGAAAAAGGCCTTTGCTGCACTCGAGATCATTTCTATGTAAACATTGCTCTCGTGTGCAGCAAAGTGCCACTTTCACCACTAGTTACACAAATAACTATTTCAAGGCTCAGTCATGTGTATAATGCATTGTGAAAAGAAAACATAGTTTTGTATAAAACGTTTTATTTAAAAAATATATATCACTAAACTAAATTGTAAAGCTGTGTTTTTGACATGTGTCTTGCCTTACCTATATCTACGTTTAACATTTGTTTCATTACTTATAAGCGTTATTTTTTTAATACAGTTACTAATATAGTTTTATACAGTGGGATTAGGTTAACAGTTAACAGTTATCACAATGCACTGATCATGGGTATTTTTATAAATCTGCAATCATGAGTAGCTAAGCTAAATTGATTATTAAATTGAAATGTGTTTCTAAAAGCCGTTATTAAACTCTATTAGTACAATAATATTGTTTACGAGGCAATATTACTAAGGGTAACCTTTTTGTTGCCATTTAGAAGGTACATAAAGCATGTATTACAGTTACGGATAGTACCGACATTGATGTTTGAGGCTGATTATGTCCAAACTAAATGTGGCAGTTGTATACATGTATAATCAAGTTGTATCGATTTAAATAATCATAAATAATTTATTAAACTACACGTTTGTTTCAGTCACAAAGATGTAAGGATGGTCACGTTCAATTTCGCCTTCAGTTATAGAATCATTTCCAGGCTTGATTTCCTCTGTCACAGTTGCATCGTTCCTATTCATTACACGGCTACAGCTCCCGCTCCCCGCAACTGTTCCACTCATGTCACCAGGTTTACCCGCAAACTGTTCAATGTTGCTATGTTCATTTGCAACCGTTCCTCCTGTGTTGCCAATTTCATCCACAACTGTTTCTCTGATGTCACTAGGTTCGCCCACAACCGTACCTCTAATGTGTACAGGTTCATCCACAAGCGTTTCACTATTGCCAAATGCACCTGCAACTGTAACACCCATGGTACTAGGTCCAGGCGAAAGCGTTCCATCGACGGTGACAGTGTCATTCACCACCGTTCCATCAATATTGCCGGATATGCCTGGAACAGTTCCACCCATGTCACCACTTTCATCCAAAACTGTTCCACTAATTTCTCCATGCCTATCCCAATCTTGTGTGACCGCTCTTACGTCATTGTTATCCTCATAACTTGCCGGTCTTTGTCTGCTAGTTACTTCACGTGACGTTCCCGCTTCTAGAGAACTAGCTCTCCTGTTCATACTGACGTAGCTCCCACTCATTCTCTTCAGCAACAGCTTCTTGGTCTCATACTGTGACTCCTTTTCACCAGAAGGATCGTCACTTCCGTCTATGTTTATCTGGACATCGTTCTGGTACTGGTTGGCAGGTTTGGCCCTCAACACCGTGTAGTGTTTGTTGCCGAGGTTGTTTAGACTTATTGTCTCCACGACTGAAGTTATTCTCAAAGGTCTCGGGTCGTCGTAGGCCTCTGCCTTGTAGCTGACCATGTCATTCGCATACTTGACCAGCGATGTCTGGTTGATCTCTTTCTCCGCCTTGTGCGGGTTGGGAATCTTGTACCCGAAATCCTGCTTCAAGACATCTGGAAAAGAAAAGAACTTTGCTGACATCGATCTAATGAATGTTACAGCTACATTCTTTTTAAATGAAGAAATCAAGGGCGCAGACTAGAGTTATCTATTCATTGTTCAAACAATGTAACACGATTTGTAAGATTTGAGCAAAAATATAAATTCACTACATAGCTACCTTAGAAGTTTTAGCAGAAATAAAACTTACTATTTGATTAAAAATGAGCTGTATCAGATAGGGTTAAAATATTTTGTGTATAAACTTTTGAAGAGTATAAAGAAGATTGTTATTTGATTTTAGCAACTATTGAAAGTTTGTTGATAAAGAGAGCAGTTCATACCTTACCTACTTCATTGTACACACGGCTCATTAATGTATATAATTCCCTTTTGTTTACAAGTTTTACCCTATAGATTATATATTTATTTCCCCCAAATTTCATGTAGGTAAATAACTAAAATATCACCAATGTCGTCCTCGGGAGAGAAGTCTGCCAGGTAGCCTTTGTTGATGACGAGTCTGTTCTCCAGCTGGAGTGGCAGGTAGTCAGTGTCTTCCTCCAGGAGTTTCTCCAGCCGCGCGGAGATGTGCCAGAACGGAGGCCGCTCTAGAGGATCCTCCCGCCAACAGTCCAGCATCAGATCGTACCTGACCGAGATGAACATTAATTTCGCGTTCTAAGCACTTGAGGGATGTAGTAACTCATTTAGTTTTATGTTTATACATAAATCGTTATGTGAAATAAATAAACGATAAAAATTGCATAATACTATGAGTCCACATTTTGGAGACCATCGCAAAAGGAGGATTCGGAAAAAGTTCTGTAATAAACTTGAACAAATTTCCTTTTTGAGATATCAATAATCATAAAGGGAGTAAGTTAGGTGCAAAAATAAGTGTCTCATAAACATGATGGAGTGTAGTTACGTTTATCCTTCGATATAACTCTTATGGCTTATCTTGATGAACATTAAGATTGCAACCTCACATTATAGCATGGTATTTCGTGCATGGGTCTAAAATACCAAACGAAAACTTACAGTATTGAATGATTAAATATGTATAACAGCCGATTTGATATCTACTTGTTAAAGACTTTTGCTTATCCATATTTCGACCTTTGACATTAAAAGATGTTTCTTCCGTCCTAGTTTTTTGAACAATTGAGATTAATTTCCCTTCCTGAATGAAACTGGAGTAAGACAGTAAGTAGTATTTAAGTGTTAGAAAAGTTGACTGTATGTTTGACACAACTCACAATCTGTCTGTGCAAGTGAGGGGGCGGTCCATGCGGTAGCCGGCGCGCAGCAGGGGATACAAGCTGTGCACTGCTACCCCTGGGTAAGGGGATGATCCCAGTGTCACCAACTCCCACAAAACTACTCCATAACTCCACACGTCACTTTTGGTCGTGTACACGTGATCAGCCAAAGACTCCAGTGCCATCCATTTCACTGGTACTGCAACCAAACAGGTTGTTGACGTTTTCAACAGTTGGTGTAGGTTTTACAACAGTCATATTTTCTATCTATATCTTGAATTAACTGCATTGGTTGGTTTAGGCCAAGCTTTTGGTTTAGGGGTTGATGTTGAATTTCTAGTTCAAACATGTTTCTAAGTTGTATTTTTTTAATTTGTCAATCCTGTGTATTTTAATGCATGTGATGTATTAAGTAAAATATATAATTGGTTTGTTCACATACCTCTTCCCTTGCTACGTTTGAAATATGCATCATCTTCGTAAACATCCCGAGACAGTCCGAAGTCTGATATCTTGCATAAAAGTCCCGAAGCCAACAACACGTTCCTTGCAGCTAGATCACGATGAACTAGCTGTGAAAGAAAAAAACTCTTGTCAACTAATACTAGGTTTGGATTATATTATTTCACAAAAATTCAGAATACTTTATGTAAACCATTGAGTTGTATCATAAGTCAAAGTGTAAAATAACATTCAGCATACACGCTTCAGTGAAACTCAAACGTCAACAGATTCTAATACGAAATACAATTAGGGACGATGTATTAATTTTTATGCAACGATTGGCTACCACATTGGCATGGACGAAGCATATCAACTACTCTCCGTAGTCAGAGATAAATTGTAAAGATTTACATACTAATAAACACACACCTAATCGTACTTTAGAAATCTTTATACAAAGATCCTTAAACATTGTTAAGTTTAGCCTACCTTATTTTCGGCCAAATAAGCCATTCCCTTTGATATCTGCAGAGCGAACGTCAGCAGAGACTTATACGTCAGCGGCTCCACGGCCTGGTTAGGAGATCCTGGAGCTGGGGGAACTAGGCGACTGCGTCTCAGGTACGATCTGGAGAATGGACACAGAAGGTATCAATCATCAAAATCGTGTCAAGAAATTGTGACTTGCCTAGAAGTGTTCTAGACCCTAATCCAAATATGAATGGAAAACTAATACGGGGATGAGGTTGCTTGTGTTGCTTTTTAAAAGGCAATATCTTCTAAAAAGTTGGTTTAAAAACTGCATTAATTACGCAGTATACACGAGAACATATTGGTAGTGCAGTGACCCCATGGCTTGTTAAAGGCTGTGAGAAGTAAAGAAAATGCCCAATATTTATAAGTTTTAGAATCACTAGACAGTTAACTAGAGGAGGGCGAAGAAAGAAGCGGTATCTATGATGGAGGAAGAAGAACTGTGGTAGGATATGTGATATTGAAAGTTTTAACCTAACCAATTGAACTTTATTAGTTGGCCTACTCGAGCTGTGTCAACTTATTTTCATGCCGACAATCTGTAGTCAAGCAGTGGACTTTATTGGCCTACCTCAACGAACCGTGTTCGGCGTACTCTATAATTATGAAGACAGGTCCACCGAGTGAGGTACAGGCTCCCAATAGTCTGACTACGTGGGGATGGCACACATCCTTCATCATTTGGTACTCTGCTAGCAAATCTGCCATTTCCGCCGAGGTGGCCGACACTTTAAGAGTCTTCACTGCCACTGTAGTTACACCTAACAGGAGAACATATATTTTAGGAATGACTATGCTATTATCTTTGCTCATGACATAAAATCTAAAAAAGTAAACAAACTTTCTACTGAATGCGTGAAAACTGTGCTTTATTATTAGCAAGTACTCCAAAAACATACGTTTAATTATTTTGAATCATTCTGAGCCCAGATTTCTCTTGGTCAGTCGTATGATCACTATTAAAAGTGAGAAATGGATAAGCAAACGAACAGTTTTGATTGGGCGCCAACAGTACTTCATGAAGTTTCAGTCTTATTTAACACAGGTCTGAATCAATATGATTTTATCATAAGTACTTGACAATAACAAGTGATTGAAGAAGATGGAGTAGCCAATTCACAAATAGAAAGCAAAATACATTCATCAGTATACATAAAATTAAAATTGTACCTTTAATCTGTTTGTCTGTACGAGTTAAGGACTTACTTAATAGTTCGCTTGCTTACCCTTAATGCCATCTATGTCCATTGCTCTTGCTTTCAACACACGTCCAAATTCTCCTTCACCTAAACACTGCTCAATGATCAGTGACTCACGAGGAAACTCCCAGCGTTTGTCAGGCTAGAAACAAAATATATTTTAAACAAATGAAAACTACTGATATTTATTTGGCCTAGAAATGTATAACTCTTTTCATAGTTAGTTATCCAAAAATAGAAAATCTTGGATAAATCTAGAGAACAACATAAATTTCACATCTACTTACCACAATGTACGGCTCTGGTGGTTGACTGACAACTGGATGAGTGAAAGTCTGTAACAAGTTGTCAGCTGCTCTCTGAGCTTCTAGCAGAGTGTTGGACGTGTCCATCAGCTTACGACTGCTGTTTTTGCGCCTTCTACGCAAAATGTAATTACGCAACATTTCAAAACATTGTATGGTAATACATAGAAAAAACTGAAAACTGCCAAGCATAAAATGCGAGGAGTGTGTGATGACTGATGTTGCCGCTGCTTTAAAAATGTTTCAGGATAATAATCATACACACAACTTTTACTACCTAATATATTGTCTTCTTACATGAAACGACTTTGCAAAGTATTTCACACAGTAATCTAGGTTCAAAATAACTTGTTTAACACTTACTGTCGACGAGACGTAAGAAACAACATGAAGAAGAGGCAAGATGACATGATAAAGATGATGCCGATGGCTGCCTTTGTCTGACACTTGAAGCCACATCCTTCTCTTCGACGTCCTTTTGGTTCGGTAGATTCAGAGGTTTTGATATCTAAAAGTGTAAATTCCAAATTTTGTATCGTAACGGTAGGCAGTACTCTAGACAATTTGTCAACTGGATAAACCTAACCTAGCCTGACCTAACCCAACCTAAAACCGACCTTCCTAACACAGCCCTAACAAATGAGGGTATGTTAGGGTTTTCAACCTACCAGGAACTAGTGAGAGGCTAGTTGTTGTGAGGTTATGTGGTGTCTGGGTGGATTTAGATGTCACTGACAAGGGTTCAGTTTTGTTGTGGGACGTGATGGGCCTCATCATGAGATTCTTCGGCGGCCTGGGAGGCTGGCCGGCACACACACAGGCCCGGCTGTGGTCGCAAGAACAGAAGGTACCAGAGGTAAACGGTTGAATCCCTTGGCCCACGTCCCTCACTCGTCCTGCGCCTAGGACATGGGCTGTGAACAGACAGGCCAGTGTGAGAATCTAAGATATTACAAAGTAGCGAATCCTGGAAAATATATCTAGTTACGCGGAGGTGCATTAACTGCACCAAATAGTTCCATAATTGTGCCTAGCTCTGGGTCCCAAAAAATCTTCCTTAGTTGCGCCAAAAGTATGTAAATGTCGTAAAGAATAAATGTCCTTAGTAGCCAGGTAGAGGTGAGTTGCCAGAGAAGGAATTGCCTTGTTTATGTGTCATCCTAACCTAACCTAACCTAGTCAAAGAGGGCCGTCACTTAGTGCAGTTAATAAACGTATCGGGTGGTTCCCTGGAGTAGTTGGCGCAATTCAGGAATACCCGACTACCTGACTCAGGTCAGCAATTAATGCCCAGTTACGTCAAGAAAACGCGTTACTACTCTCTTGAATCATCAGCTAATCACGCCTTTTTAAACTGATGGTTGAACTATTGTAATTTTTTGGCTGTAGTTATTAAAGTTACATAGATTAAAGTTATCTTTTAATAGAAATATTAAAAATAATGTATTTCGTGCAATGTGGGCAGTTAAACTAAAAGGCAGGCTTACATTGTGTAGCCCTAAAGTGGAGGAATTTATTTAGTAGTTAATTATGGTATGCGTTTTAGTGGAGAGAGTTCCCCAATACAGAGGAAGTTCTTCACTTGATGGATTCATGTTTTAAAATTTTGATTAATCGCAGCACAGCTTAGAGTTTGCGTCAGTCCAAAGGATGGTGATGAAACCGTATAAATAAAAACCCTTGAAATTTGAATCGGTGCCTCTAGGACGGACGTCTAGCGTTTAACCACTAGACCAGCCGCACACATAAGATATTCGGTGTTCCCATATATCTAATGTTGTGCTGTAATTCCTCACTTGTACAGTCTTGTAGACAGGTGAGGTTGTGTGAGAGCCGCTCCAGAGGATCGCACCAGTAGTCCGGACAGTGAGCGACGTCCACGGTGCAGGTGGAGTACCGTGTCGTGCTGCCGGGCAACCACTCGCACCTGAGAGCTGGGCGGCTACTGTTGCTGTGACATTAGTAAACGGAATTACAAAAAAATATCAGTAAAAATAGGGCTCAGCAAGATCTAGCATAACAAATACAAGAGGAAGATGAAAGTGGATTTAAGCCCACAATCATCCCACATAGTAAGACAAGCTATTGACCTAACTCCATGGGAAATATAAAGCAGAGAAGGTCCAAGAAAATTTGGATACAATTGAGCAAGCTACACGGCACTCCTAGCGGTGGACGCCGGAACATAAGCTAACTGCAGCACTGCTGTCGTTACCTAGCTCTGCCGCCGAGACCGTGGGCACACGTGGTCCTCTGGCACTCTCGCTGCTCCAGGGCGGAGCACAGGTTGTCCCCGTGGTCGTGGTCGGTGCAAGGCGGAGTGTCAGGGTCTACAAGCTCCACCGAGATCTGGGCAGAGTCCCGTCGACCGCTGGCTTCTCTCCACTCCACTGTCACCCTGTTGGGTATCAGAATGCTAAAAATGAGTCACATAACAACTGAGCCAGCTACACAAACTATCCTACTCATCCCAAACTAATGTTTGTGTCAAAATACGCCTTAGTAACACCCCAATGGGGATAGAAGGTGGGTGAGTATTGAGCTCTTTCCCCTTAGTACTTTATTCAAGGAAGTGTCGTGTAATGACCGTGTCAGTCGACCAAACGTTAGAATTGAGCGCGTACAGTTAGATATTTCCTTAACTATTCGAATGGTGTGTAGATTACATTTAAATTTCTTTCCGATTTTCCACTCAAGGCTAACATTTGTAACTCTAATATGTGGATATATTAAAATTTTAAAATGCATGGGTCTGTCACACATACTATAGACTTTTTAGAGTTACTTTCCAATTGTATAATAGCATAAATGGATAGATTTTACCACGAATATTAGAAAAGCCCCGGTATGGATCATAAACATAAACAAAGGACGTTTTTGGCCCGAAAGTAGACAAAACCATACGTTATTTAATGCTATTAGTATAGAGTTTTTGTTTACTTTCGGACTAAAAACGTTATTTGTTTATGTTTATGATCCATACCGGTGGATGTTTACGTCAAAACATGTGAGCTACAATTATTTGTCAGTTGTTATGTTAAACAAAGAGTAAAGATCACACTGTAATAAGGTAATAATCATCATAAGAGAGCAATATTTGTTCGGCATCACGCACCAAAGCAATATTAAACACCAGAATACGATGCAGGTTCCACAACACGAATAGAAGTCTACGTACAAGTCAATAACAACACATGAAAAATATCTTGTTACGATTTCTTACAAAATAATGATTTCCGATTTTCAAATACATCTCCACCAACCTGACGACTCTCTGAGCACGCTGCAGCGCTACGGGGTCGGATACATACAGGATGCCAGCTCTCTCAGTGACGTTGATTGAGGGGTGCTTCAGGGTGAATGTCGGTCCAGTAGGAGAGTCCAGGGCCCGCAAGTCGTAGGGCTCCGCCACCCTGGCGTGTAGAGACGCCGCGCGGGACAGAGTAACCGCGGGAGGGTACTGCACCATCGGCCGCGTCTGGGCCAAGGGCTGGAGAAGAGTCTGTGGTTGGAACGTGAGAGGTATCGAAACCTGGAATACGTTCGGGTTACTAGGAATACTGTATAGCTAAGTGTACAAAATAATAGGGAGTTTGAGGTAACCTATTACGGCTGTAACCGTTACATTTTAGTTGTATGGTTACTTATCCTATTACGTTAAATAACGACCATTTCTAATACGAACTACGTGACTATCAGTATAAGTAATTAATTTATATTGCATAAATGGAGTATTTTTTATATTCTCTATAAGATTCTTGCTAACCAAAATTATTCTGGTCCAATTTATTTGGTTATACATGAGCGTAGGTATAAAATATTCCTGTGTAGATTTGTCATTCTTGTGGATATGCTACATGTAATTTTAAAGAATGTTTCTATCCGGTAAAGTTAGAGTGTGTTTAGACGTTTTAATGTACATATTTATGTTTATTTTACCAGCTATAAACAATTTTGACAATACAAAATTAACTATTTGTAATACATTTTTACATGTATTTATACAAGTATAACCAGTCAGTTAAGTTCGCACTACATAAGTATCGCAAAATGATACGTTTAGTCGTCTTTGACGTACTAAAACACAAAAGTTATGATATAATTAGCTAAGTAGCCTATTTTACCACAGGATGGAAGGTCTTCCCGTATCATTGGCAGTGGTTATGCTTTCGAATTCAAGGTACATTGGATGAGGAAATAATCTATTTTCAAGAACTCAGAATTGATATTTTGATTGTTGGATATTTTCTATAGGGGAAATTTTCAAGTATAGGCCCATAAAGACCTATCAACAACATTAGGCCTATATCAGTAAGAAAAAACTATAGTTACCTTCAAAATAAGACTATTGGACTTTTTTGTAAACGTACGAGTACCAGTTCCTCGATTGTCAAGTACATACGTCAATATAGTAGCATATAAATTAAATAAATACATTTTCAATCTAAAGGAGAATACATTGGTGTTTTTCAGAATTTTCTTCTTTCTCCGAGATACACGATCGTAGGCTAATGCTAATTAATCCAAGATACACGATCGCAGACAAATGTTTGCCAATAAGTACCTGGTATATGATTTAGAGATAACTAATAATTCATCATACAAAATTTACTCAAATGAATGTGTAAAAGGTTTACCGTGCAGGGAGGAGGAAGATCCTTGTCGGTCAGCCTCACGACGAACGTGTAGCCAGCCTCTGGTATAGAGCGTCCCGCTTGTACACTCACATCTGCAAAATGTATTTTATATAGACTAGAGGTCGTCCAGTGGTCGAAAACTCTACCAAAAATGTGTAATTTACAGACTTTTCTATATCTTAAAAATAAATAATTTAGTATATTGTAGCGTTATTATATACCTAATGGTTGCAAAGGAAATTCAAACAACTATAACATAGAAATTTAAAATTCCTATGGTAATCTTCTAATTGTTGTGGAGAATTAATAAACTGTTGTATTTTTATAGGATGTATTTTTTCCATTTTTTATTTCATACCAAAATATTAACATAAACAGAAACCATAGGCTACTTACTTATCTTAATTCTTGTAGCCTCAACGCCTCCATACTCAGTTGGTGAGGCGATCAGTTCATACTGAAGGATATTTTTCGTGTCGTCCAACAGTTTAATTTCAAAGTTGTTGGCCCCAAATGTGTCCAAATCGATTAACTCGATTTCACTCTAAAAATATTTACAAATTTTTTTATTAAATACTATAACATTATTTGTTGACACTTGAAGTAAAATAAACATTTTTGAGAAACTTGTTTTATTTGACATTAGTTTTATTAAAAGAGTACTTACCTAGTTTAGTAATTAACTACAGAGACACAGTTCCATATTATTAATTATCTAATTGGCCAAGTCGTCATGGTGCTTACTTGCAAATATAAAGGTTGCCGATTCGATCCTAGCGAGGTATATTCTGGATCCTCATGTCATTTTTTAATTTGATTCATAATGATTCATGCTATCGAACAAAGTGCCAACGTTATATGTTCACATAGACAAATAGAATAAAAAATACCGACAGCAGTTCTGCGGTTATCATAAGATCTGGCGTCCACCGCTAGGAGTGCAGTGAAGTTAGCGCACGCGCTGCGTAGCTACACTGCACTCATAGCGGTGGATGCCAGAACTTATGGTACCGCAGCAGTGCTGTCGGTCTTTATTTAATTTTGTCTATATTAACTAGGATTTGAAAAAATCTCTCAAAACAATAAAAAAATACCAGCGGTAAAATAACCCACCAAATAAAATGTGTAAGAGGGAAACTCGATGTATTTTGCCGTTTTATTACGTCATCAACATCAACTGCAGTAGCATACCTGTATTTCTCCGTTTAGTGATTGTCGTTCCACAGCTGACTGGGACACGCCCCTCGCATGTCGTAATTACTAGGTAAGTGATAGTCACTCAGCTGTTAACTTCAACCTATCACGTTCCTCCACCCCCCCTCCCCCCCCCCACCCAGTAAACCCTACCGCAACTATCAATAGCACAGTGTGTTGTATTGTTATATGATTGTGTATCGCGTACAGTATTTTCAAATAAATAGATTGAAAAGATTACGTTTCTCAGTTATAAACTGGTATTTAAAACAACTAAAGTTAAAAATAAGAAATGATTGTTAATTAAAATTGAATCACACAAATAGCCTATTGTATTAGCTGTAAATACCAACAATAGATAAAATATGGAAACAACAACGACATCTAGAAAGTCTGGATTAGAAAATGTGCACAACATCCAGAGTGAATTTTTAAGTTCCATTTTTTAGATGAAAAATTGTATTCAAAGTTTTTTTACATTTTTTAACTTTAGAAAAACAAAAGTTTGGCACTTGACAAATTAATGCTGAACCTGGCATGTATAGTATTGATATGTTTAAGTGACTTTATAAAACTATTTGTTTGTAACAATTACTTATCATGGTGAGTTTTTTTTAGGAGAATGGACGTAATAAACGCAAAGATTATACTAAACTGATAATTGTTCGAATTATTCTTATTTGTACAAAAATCACACTACATTTTAACATGGCTAGGATTAATTCTATCTGTTTTTGTGGTTAAATATAAAGACCCTGATTAAGTCATTTTGATTATTTTACTTAGAACACTACAATTACCGAGAGTGCATAACAATAGTACTGCGATGTACAAATCCGACGCACACTTAAGCGCGTATTTCGGACTGAATATAGGGAGTTTAAATAATTTTAGAACGTGGAGAGGTGATCTATGCACAGCTACATATCATCTCTCCACATACTTAGTGTATGAGATCGAGATCTATGAGATCAGCTGTTTCTGTGGTCATGTTTAAGATTCCAAAATATATTAACAAGGACAGCTGGCTCAGTTTCGAACGACGAACTATACTGCAGTATAGGTTGGTTTTGAACCTTTACAAAACTACTGAATTTTCTCAGGATTGAGCCAGGGGCCTTTGGCTTTAGATAATAAAACGGATACTCTAACCACTTAGCTACCAAGACCAAAATCGTCAAACTAGACAAGCTATATAAAGGTCCACAGTATTTGTACCGAGTCCGAGGTGCTGGTGATGTTCAGGACCTCAGGCAAGTTGTCGTCCGTGTCCAGGAGTGTGACGGAGAGGACTCGGTCGTACGTGACGTCATCCAGAGTACAGGACACCTCTACTGACAGAGGTCCAGGGAGATCCTCACGGTCCAGGGCTGGGGCGCTCCACAGCTCCGAGCCAACTAGGCGGGCTATAGAACCCCCTGTTAACGTGAACCACTATAGTTTAGTATAGACTATACTTAAATAAACTAAAGGTACGTGGTAGTTATATTTGTATTTTGTTCAAATTTTACCAAGAATATGAAGTGTTTTCATACAGGGTGAATAAAAAGTCAAGACCCCCCCCCATCTAATATTTTTCCAAGTAAATATACAGAGATATATTTAAAAAAAAAGTTTCATTTTATGATTTTGAAATTTTTGAGTGTCCCCCCAAAAGGGGGATTCGGGGGGCAACTCAAATATTTTAAATGTAAACCCCCTTCAAGTGACACCTCATGTTGAAGGGTTTACAAAAAATTAAGGAATGGTGAAAACTAGAGGTTGCTATCTCTTTTCTATCCAAAATGCCAGCCCGTCAAATATTGTGGAAAATCAATAATAAAATTGGTTCGTAATGGTAATATTGGCTACCATTTTGGATAGAGAAGAGATAGCGAACTCTGGTTTTCACCATTCTTTAGGTTTTTGTAAACACTTCAAAATAAGGTGTCACTTGATGGGCATTTACATTGAAAAATGTTTAGTTGCCCCCAAATCCCCCTTTTGGGGGGGGGCACTCAAAACTTTTAAATGTAAATCCCCATTTAGTGACACTTTGTTTTGCAGTATTTACAAAAACTTAAAGAATGGTGAAAACCAGAGTTCGCTATCTCTTCTCTATCCAAAATGGTAGCCAATATTACCATTACGAACCAATTTTACCATTGATTTTCCACAATATTTGACGGGCTGGCATTTTGGATAGAAAAGAGATAGCAACCTCTAGTTTTCACCATTCTTTAAGTTTTTGTAAACCCTTCAACATGAGGTGTCACTTGAAGGGGGTTTACATTTAAAATATTTGAGTTACCCCCCCAAATCCCATTGGGGGGACACTCAAAAATTTCAAAATCATAAAATGAAACTTTCTGCTAAGATTGCACGACCACCAAAAGGATATCTCTGTATATTTACTTGGAAACATATTAGATGGGGGGGTCTTGACTTTTTATTCACCCTGTATAAAAATGTGGATTTAATAACATAAACAAATAATAAGTGTAAATAAAAAAATACATAATATTTTTCTGGAAAATATTCTCTAGAAGACGTCTATAGAAAACTATCATAAGGATAGCTACCTTATAAATGGTTTTGAGACTTACTAATCCAATACAACCCAATTCCAACTCAGTAAATTCAATAGAACCCTATTCTAAGATAACCTAACTCTAAACTAATCTAACCCAACACAACCTATCTCAACTCAACTCAACCAAATACAGCTTAACCGATTAAAGGCTTAACGTCTGTTCTTACCGATGGCTATAGGTGAGTTGCGGCCGGGACACTAATCTCTCACCTTTTACTTGTCAACGATGAACAAAACTCTATTATAGGGTTTTCTACCAAGCTCAATTTGAAAGTTTTTGAAAAGGTGGAAAAGGTGTACGTGGATGGAACTTTCAAGAGTTGTCCTAAATTGTTCACACAAATGTTCACTCTTCATGGATTGGTAAATGAAACGTATGATTAACAACAACATTAATATTTTTCTTTCTGCCTGACAAAACAAAGAAATCATACTCTTTAGCACTGAAATGTGTAGCTAGTGAATGTGATTCTCTTAATTTTATCTGCTCCCCTAAAGTTTTCATAGATTTTGAGCCAACACAATAAGCTTATGTATAATGGAGCGCAAACCAAACTAACACAACAAACTTATTTCTTAAATTATGTATGATTATTTTATGTACCATTAAACCAACCATATAATTGGCAATTAATCTGTTTATACTCGGGCCGCAACTCGTACAAAACTTTTTTCAGTCTGGGCCGCAACTCATACGCAAAATGAGGTTTGGGCCGCAACTCACCAACACCGTTACCGATTGTAACTAAGAAAATAATTTATTCATACAAATTAAGGTGCATTACAAAAATAAGGTTACCAATGACACAGAAAGTTTTACACTTAAAATGAGAATGATTATATCAGCTATAAGTTAAGACTATTAATTGTGATGTTAATCATAGAAAGGATTTCCTGAATGAACCTCTAGTCAATTACTCTCCTAATGATTCATATTGTATAATTATTTTCAAAAATAATCTTTCCAAATTATATTGTTTCCTAAGGTTTCCAAAAGAAATTGATAGTAACTGCTTGTAACATTTATCATAACTAACTTCAATATTTTTCAAACACTTTCTATGGATTCAAAACATTGTTTTGCAACTATAGGCCTACGACTAATTTTAATAAAAGTTACAAAATCATTCGACTCTTGTTACATGTCTGAAAAATATTAAAACATTAAACTTATAATAAATTTAACGAATTGAATAACTAAGCCTTAAGTAATTCACTGACCATGGAGTATCCTGTATACAGGCGATCTTGTAGAATTGTGGCAGTACCGCGGTCCCAGCACTCCCAGCATTGTGGAGGGAGAGTTCTCTGGTACAACATACCTGGCCGAGTCACCGAAACACAACTCCTACGAATAAATAACAAAGAAAATCATTTGACTTGGACAATGTGGGGTCTTTCCGAAAAAATGGTTGCCACTACTAAAATTAACCCTATGCAGATGAAGGTGATCTAAACCAACCCATCCTAACCTAACTTATATAGGGAAAGTTTTAATACAACCCAACCCAATAGTCATCTTCTTAAAAAGGCCCCAAATCCAATTACAATGTATGAAAGTAAGTTACACAACTTACTTTAATTAAAGATTAAGGTGCGCACTATTAGAGTCCAAATAAATTAAATAAATTGTGTTTTGGGGCAATGAAATGTTTGTTTTTATCCAAAAAGGATCGTTGGATTTTACAAGGATTCGTGTAGCGTCTGCCTGAATTGCCAAATAAATCTGGCCAATATTGGGAAAATTTTGATTGGTTGGGTTCAACCAGAACTGTTGGTTCAACAGATGACATTGCCAAGCAAACGTAGAAAATATTCCAATACAAAGGATATGTCGTATGCAATGTCCACATCTTTACTTATGAAACTTGTTATAGATGTTGATAGTTCTGAGACAAACCGATAGGTTAAACTGATGAAATAGTTGTGTTATATCACTGACTATTGGATACTATATCTATGAAAGTTGTTTTAATTTATTGCTTTATTAAAAATCATGAAACGTAATCGCTCCGCTCAACTGGCTTTCACCGCTATGAAAGCAATCCTAGTTTAATTAGTAAAAGCCACGAATTAAAGGCCTCGTGGTTTAGGACTGTTAGATATAGTTTAGAAGAAAAAAAACTTACTTTTGTTTACCTTTTGTTACGCTGTTTAATGTTAATCATTATAACCTCCCTCAATGTTATAGCTGTACAAAATGTCAACAAAAATACGGCGATAGTTTTGGCCAAAAATAAATCAACAAATGTTTTGGCATTGACAAGGGAAAACTAATAACGTCGTTGTGCAGAGAACAATGCCATCCATTGAGCCGTCGCAAGTAAACAGTCCATCAGTGCTTTGAACAGTAATATTTTCTCGATCGTGAAAAATATAGGTACTACACTGTTGTTAAAATAAACAGTGTTTCGCAATCGTGTCTTTTGTTGAGTGGTACATTTAGTTGTAGCATTGGCTGATTCCTGAGTAACATATTATATAGTAGAGAAATAATATTTTGTAACCATCTGTAAGAAGTTTCATCACTATATCTTTATGTCAAAATGTATAAGATTGAACGCAACTGGGCTTATTTTAAGCCAATTATGTACTAAATATAAGAGTGAAACAATTAAAAAAATATAAGAATAAGATAACCAGTTTCCTTGTAGTGCACATATAAAAAAAAACCTATCAATACCAGATGGGCCCATCTTGAACCATAAAAAATACAGTTAAAAAATGTAATTTAATATAAAAACTTAGAGTAGTAAAAAGGTGAATAATAGTTACTAATGGAAATAATTGGCTAAAGTTAAAATTAAATCTTATTTGATCGCATTTATTTTAAGAATTGTAACTTAAATTGGATTACATGTCAGATATGAATTTGAATATTATTAGGAATTTTCTAAACTTAAATAGGTATCCACAGATTTTTCCAAGCAGATTATAATTTAATTTAGACTTAATTTTTAAATTCATTCCGATTAGTCAATTTTGGTAGTAAAAACAAACGAGTATCGGTTTATTTTATTTTCGAACACTCTTGTCTTCCCTCCATGAGAAAATACTTCCCGAAATTTTCCTCGAGAACTCCAAGAATTCCTGGATCAAGATAATGTTTTCAGTTAAACGATTTAAAATGCTCCAACCTTTGGATACATTAACACTGTGTAACAGATAAACTAACGGCATCACTTAGATGTTGCAAAGTGTAAAGAGTACGTTAATCTAAAACATAAAATATATGAATACTGCAATAATAAAACCTGAGCTGTACTAGAGAGAATTACAAAATTCTGAATTGGTTTGTTGAATTGTTTATTGAAATAAATTTGTTTTACCTGAAGTCTTCGCGGACAGTCCGAGGTAGTAGGCTGCGCTTTGGTGACAGTGTGTGAGTCGGCTGAAATATATTAAATTAATTATAAACTATTATATTAACAGTTTTTTTTTCAGTGGGGGAATTAAAATTCTGGCCAAACATGTTTCGATGTAAAACATATAATCATCTTTTTATGGAAAGTTTTCTGCTAGTGACTGTCGTTTGATGGGGTAGAGACAATTCACACAATGTTGGATAACTAAATATAGGCTACAATAACACAAAACATGTTCAGTTGAAATCTTTGGCTATTGATACACAACCATATAATATTTGGTTTGATTTTTTATTAGTTTTATATTATTATTATTTAGTTATAGTGGAATCAACAGTAGCCCGTTCTGATCAAACCAACTCTTAACCATGAGCAGAGCAGTCCACGATCAGCTGTTTCATAAAACCCTCCTAGCTGTCTCCTTGGAATATAACAGCTATGTCGCCTGCATAGTGAAATCTTTCCGTAGGGCAGATTGAATAAATTTACCTATGTTTTCAAAATATTGATGTAGGCTGAAAACAAAGCAGGACCGTGTACTGCCTTGGATCACCCCGTAATCAATCTTTCTTGGGGAACTGTTACAATATTGAAACAACCTGATATCTGATGTATTTTATACTAGTAAACCACTTACACGTAAACAGCATAACTTCTTTAGAAGTAAGCCTGACTGATCAAAGTTATCAAAAGCTTTAGCTAAATCGATAAAAATTAGTATTTATGAACATAAAAATAAGAAATTTTATCTATTAAGGGTTGAAACATGTTCCTCGTGCCCATGATTCGATCATGCTGGTTCACGGACTCGTTCCAATAAACGTAGTAAGTATTCAAATTGTAATAATTTTATCGGATGATTTATTACTCGAGTAATCGCGCTAACACATACACACACACACACACACACACACACACACCCAAGAATTATCTTGATTTTGAACGGATGCTTTTCTGGCCCCTGGAGACCTCAAAACAAAAAAGTATCAAAACAAAAATCGGTCCGGGGTCCATATCTTACCATGACACCTACTTTATAGCTTATTCCGTATTTGGTGAATTCAATAATAACTTACTTACATTTTTTTATTATATTAGAGTAGATAAAAGCATAAAAGATTACATTATGAATCGGTAACATTAAAAAGTCCTAGTTTGAAAGTTTGGAAGCACATAGATAACTGATTTTCTTCTATTTTAAGAGTCATTGGAGGCTAGCGGCCATATTGGATAGTTTCGAACCGCTGCTGAAGAGTTAATTATCATCTATTATCAACAACCTTTAAAATATATTGAGCCGATTCACGATCACGATAAATATGAACTGCATTGGAATTAATTTATGCTTGTAACACCCTAGTGTAACAAAGGTAATGCCAGCCTTGCAGTTTGAGTTTTAAGGAAAATAGCTGTTAAAGAAGAAGAAAAAAGAAATCTGTTATGGAAAAAACTGTTAAGGAATTACTTAGTTTTATAATCAAAGTTAATACTGTATTACTAATCTAGCAATAACAGAGAATCTTTCAAGGTAATTTCAAAAGTTTTTAGATAGCTTTTAACCCTAAAATCTATTTTTTGGTCTTAGATATAATCTTATCAATTGAAATTCGTACCAATTTCTGAGTTGATTCTCAATGGTGCAATTGACCTGAATGAAACCTTGTTGAATTTATCTCGAGACCTATAAGATAATTCAGTTTTAAAATCGTCCACCATTTTACTTCAAATCTATGATGATTGGTTCGTATCATCCCTTGCGAGCGAATTAATTGTCAATTGAAATCCATAATTAGTAAAAGACGTAGTAAAATGTACTTGATAAATTATTGTTCCAAAACTATTTGAAAATTTCTGTGAGGTGTGAGGTATAAAACAGGTTAATGTCTATTAAACTAAAAAATATCAAAATGTAATCTATGTAATACAATTAAAAACGTGATAGTAAAGGTTCTGATGGTCGCAAGTTTAATAGTTTGACCAAAGAGGTATAGTTGTGAGTATAAAATCTATGAACCTTAGTAGATATTGTTGCAATAAAACTTTAAAATTTAAACTATAACATACCTGTGTTTGAGGCACACTTGTGAAACAGTGTGAGTAAAATCCAATAAATAGCAAACATATCGATTCACTATTTATATCCAAATTATATTGTTGGGAATCTCTCAGTAAACCTCAACAATTTAAATTCAATTAAATCAAATCAGCTCAATTTATTTTAACTTACAGCTTACTACTTTTTTAAAGTTCAAAATAGTTTTTATCACTACTGAGTGGAATAAAAATAGTTTATTGCGATTAATGAAAACTGTTTTTATAAATTTGAACTAAAGTAATGGTCGAAACTTGGTTAAATATAGGTTTAACAAGGAACCAGCACCACATTAATATTTTGCAAGCAATAAAAACTAACTACGACTGAGTGGTATGAGAAACTACTGTATCAGTGTTAGTCGAATGGCGCGGTAGTACTGAGTCGCGGCTTGGAGGGTGATACAGAGACCCACCACCCCCTGAACTACCCACACAGGGGGTATATGGAAAATTGGTACAAACATAGCATTTGTTCTTATTTTAATAGAAATATACAATAAACTGTATCAGAAACCTGACACATACTTTCTCCCATTACCTTGCCAACTTTATCATGGGTGGTGGGTGTAACTATGATATTTTATAGGGAAAATAACTGTTGAACCGTATTTGTTTCAGCAATGGGGGTTGCACTATTTTGTTTGGAATTATAAGGACCAAAGAAATTAAATTTAATCTTTTTTTAATAACACGTATTACAGTAACTTTTGAACCAAAGTTTTTACAGAAAATTGATTTGTACAACTTTTCAGGATTTTATGGAATATACCATACTAAAATTTTATCAAAATCGTTCGGTCCGTTTTAAAAAAAATCAGATTTTCCGTTTTTTATAAGTTTTATGAGGAAATTGACATTGAAATAAAAATGTCTAAAAAATGAAAAAAACTCCTGGAGATACCATAGATTAGTACCTACATTAAAAATGTCATCAAAATTGAACCACAGATCTGGTCTGTAGCTCTACACATCTACACATACAGACAGACAGTCAGACACACACACGGGCAGACATAACTTCGAAAACCACTTTTTTGGGTCTAGGTGGGGCCCAATGGATCTATCCACTCAAAACTTAAACTCTAAAATTTTAACAAAAACAATACTTTCTCCATACTAGGACAGAAAGTAAACCACGATTGTTTGTAAAAAAAACTCTCAGGCTATTTTTTGTGTTTGAAATTAACTGATTGTCATACAGCTTTAATAGCTGGATTTCTCCAATATCAAGAAAGTTCTTCGCTCCTGGAATGTCTGACATTTTGTTTGATTCACTATACTGGTGGACCCCAAAGTACATTACATTAAAGCAAAATGTCCATTGATGATTGGCGGGGTCCCGAGCCATCAGGACAGAAGCCAAACTCTCTATCTACTTTACCAGACGTGACTATCAATTTTTATTTTCGTATCGTAGTTATCGCGTTTTGAATAGCAATGGTATTGATCATACAACGGCTATGATTTTTAAAACAAGTAATATTTCTTTGTAGCTGAAACACTCACAGAAAAATATAATTTCCACAAATATATCAGACTAGTGTCTTTTTTAATTGCACTGACCAAGTTTCTTAAAAAAATATGACGAAGAAACTTAAGAAAATTTCTTCAGTTTATAAAGGTGTATAAGTTTGACGTGATATCGATAGTAATTACATGAGAATTCCTTTGAAAATCATATTCCTCGCCCACATTTATTCATTTTTATTCTTAATTGTCTTCAAATCATAAAAAATCTAATAATAAAAAAAATCCTTTTATGATGAAAATGAACATCTGCGATGCGTATCCTTTAGAAAAGATGAGGAAGGGTGAGTACCAATATCCGTTCGTCTGAAGAAACGCTTGGTTCTCGTCAAAATGTCTACCTCCGCAGCTGACTATTGTATTTTATACAAGTTGTTGAGTCGAAGTTAAAATTGAAAACATTTTGAGTTTCATAATTTGCATCCATAAATAAAAGAATTAATGTAGTAATAAATAGTGATTACCCACTACTCAAATGTTTTAAGTAGGAAATAGTACATTACCTAGAGATATTTTATTAACCGTATGCAGCCATATACTGTAGGCTTATTGAATGTCCCAGCTATGATATCTATATATTAATTTGAAACTGTTTTTCTTTGTGACAGCTATTTTGAGAGAACGGCTGGGCGTAGAAACTCGGTAGAGGTGTCTAAAGAAATGTCCTGGTCTGTAGATGAGCCATCAAAAGAGAAACATGGAGAATTCCCTCGGGGCTCTGCCCCAGTGGCCTTTAAATTCCCATCCCATGTTATTCTTATGGAGGAAAACGAGGTTTTTGTCACAGCTAATTTGAGAGAACGGCTGGGCGTAGAAACTTGGTAGGGGTGTCTAAAGAAAGGTATTGGTCTGTAGGTGAGTCCTCAAAAGAGAAACGATGTAAATTTCCTTGGGGCTCTGCCCCAGAGGCCTTTAAAGTTCACTCTGCAATTTTGTTTACATTTCGACCATATGGATAATTTTACACTTTTTTTAATGAACCAGCTGTTAATATTAAAATTGTATTCAAAGGTCTACTGAAACTGTCAAAATTAAATGTTTACATTATTATTTATGATTTTAAATGGATTCTCCACTGCATGGCAAGTTTTTTTATAGTTTCAACAAAATGATGAATTTATGATACGTTTGAAATGTTTTGTTCAAAAATCTATGCTTTATTGCTCTAAGAAAATTTTAAATTATGAAATAAGTGTGACATCAATTTCAAAGGAACATATAACTATTCCTTATCGGGTTAGCTTATACATATTGTAAGGTTGGCACTTTCCTTTTTTTCCTACTTTCAATCACCATTTATTTTTAAATTCAAGAAAGAACACCTGAGATTCATTTATTGGTATAACAGTTTTGATAATCGGGTTGAAAATTGTGTCATAGATGAGTACGTTGAGGATGAGAGCTG